GACATGCCCTTAAGTCTAATTTTCCTTTTTTAATTGTTCGGATTAGGACTATAAGCCATCACTGCTTAAATTAAAATTGTGTGAATCAACTGAGTTGTGATTTAAATTAAAATTGTTTTTATCATGATCTTTCTTTTTTTTCCGGAAAGTATGATTTCTGGAGTTTCCAATAGGTCTGTTATTGCTTCAAGTATTTATATTGGTGGTTGGACTGATACGGGAAAAAATGTACTCTGGCCCTAAGGCAGGCGGAAAATAAAGAATGAGAACCTGATAAGAAACCTTTGGTTGCAACAGCAAGGTTATTAGCAATTGTCTGCATTTTGTGAAGGCAATCAGATATGGTTTGGGACCATTTCTTCGTGTTTGAAGCTGAAGGCATAAAAACATACTTAGTGCAAGTGACTGAGATGCAAACACACACTCCAATGAGACCCAAACAGCACAAGAATTGGTATGATCCACTAATTTTTTATTTGTAATTCTATTTAAATCGGATCAGAGTGTGTTCTTTGTTAGAAGAGAAAGTTTGTTTCTTGGTGGACTGTTAGTCTACAGAGTTAAAAATCAGTCCTTTACTCTTTTGGTTTCTAAATCCTTCACATACTTCCACCGATTTGGAGATTTTATTCTGCTTTTTTATTTTTTTTTTCCTGGGATTTTTCTTCTGTTGAATGGGAGTTAATTTTCCAGGAAAATTGTGGCCATGGGAAAGTCGTTGGAGGATTCTCTTAAAGCTCTCGAAGTTGATATTCACCTTGCCAATACTCTGTAAATCTCTTTCTCTCTCTCATTTTTTTTCCCTTTGTTTTTTCTATCTCTGAATTGAATGTTGTTGTAAAGCTTTATTATCCTTGCTTTTTTTTTTTCCAGCTTTGTTTTGGACTGATGATCATGGGAAATTAGTTACCAGTACTTTCTAAATCTACCTCTTTGTCTCTGATTTTTTTATCTCTTTCTAAATCCACCTCTTTGTCTCTGATTTTTTTTTCCTCTTTTTTTTTATATCTTTGATTGAAAGTTTTGTGAAGCTTTGTCGTTAATTTTTTTGTGCTTTGTTTGACTCAAAATCATGAGAAATCTGTTGGGGAGCTCTTATTCTATGTCGTTTTAAATTCCATAATCTATAATAATAAGATAGGACCAATTTTGAATCTTTTCTCAATTTAAAATTTAATTTAATTTAAATTCATTTGGAAAAGCACAAAGACGGTTCAGATTCATTCTAATTTTAATTCAATGACCAAGATTTCATCTCAATTCTTCAAACTTAATCCAAAGGCTCACATTTCATCTCACATAAACAAAAATCCCGCCCAAATCAAACCCACCCCTTACACGCTACCCCTTCCAGTCACTTCCTTTGCCACGCTACCCCCTCTAGTCACTTCCTCTTCCACAGCGGCAGCACACGCTACCCAGACCCCTTACCCCTCTACCCACACCCCTTTCACTCCTCTGCCATGGCACAGCGGCAACACCAGCGACGATCAACACCCATTCACCAATCTCACCAAGCTCAGCCCAGGTACCTCCCTCTCCCCCACTCTTTCGCTCAGCACCCTTTTGGGTTAGTCCTTTCTTCTTTGTCTGTTCAATTTTTGGAGGTTGGTTGAAGATTTGGGTCAGTCCTTCTTTGATTAGTATGCTTTGTTATTAGGCTAAATTGGAGTTTCTTCTTCTAAGTGGAAAAAAAATACCCACTTCTGAATCAAATACCCACTTCTGAGTTCATTATCACGTTGTTCTTTGCCTAAGTTAATGGGTTTTCATTTTTTTTCCTCTTTATCAAATGAATCATGTGTTTGGTTGCTTCATGGAAAAGGAAGTTGCAGAATAGACAATTCATGGGATTAGAAAAAGTTGATTTTGTTTATTGAAAATCCAATAACTTTGCGAGAATCTCTTATTGCATTTCAAAAGCTAGCTTTGCTGGGTTATCAGAGATCTTTTATTAAAATGAATTTCAAAACCCGCATGTTCTTTGCCCAACTTCTTGGATAATTTAAAATGAATTTATTTTGCTGGGTTATTAGAGATTTTTTTTTTCCCGAACAGTTTCTTCCATCTGCTATTCACGAATTTCATTAAAGCACTGATATGGGTTTTAAAGCACTGATATAATTCCATTAGTATTTTAGCTTTGTATTGGGCTAAATTGGAGTTTCTTCTTCTAAGTGTGAGTTCATTATCACGTTGATTGGAAAAAAAAATGAGATATGATATATGAATCATAATTTTTTTTAACTGTGTAAGATTGAATTTACCTATGAGGTCTGATCTAGCTTTTAGTACGAAGTTTTTTTGTTTATTTGGAATTAAAGGACACCATCATTTAAAAAAGTTTTTGTAAATGAAGCAACCAAACACATTCTATAGTGGTCGGAAGTTGTCAATTTCTTTACTCTAATACGTTTCTACTTTTATTTGTGTTTTTTTAAATTTATGGTTCTTCCATAATTTTCAGGTTTGCCTCCTCCATAATGAGAGTCAGTCTGGGGTTATATAACTACTCCACCTTGGTGCTCTGAAGTGAGAGTTTTGGCTTGATTTGCTGAGTATTTTATCTACATTGGTGATGTACATATTATTTGTGATTTTGAATATGAATTTTAGTATTTAATTTGAACCCCCGTGAATTTTTGTTTAATTTGAATAGCCTAATGAAATTGATAGATTCATAGACGTGTTTCAGCATATTAATATGCATACTTTTGATGAGATATCAAGTTGGCAATTTTCAATTGGAATTTGGATGCTCCAAATTGATTTGATAATTTTGGTGTTTATTTGAGTGTTTTTTCAAATAAGTTTGATAAGTTTTGTTGTAGCTCGAATGTTATAGTTTTATTGTTATAGTTTGGGTATTTTGAATGTTAAATTGGTTTGAATGTTATTGCTCCATTGGTATATAAAGGTTGGTTAATTTTCAACTCTTCTATGGAATGATGGGTCGATTTTTTTGATAAACATGTGTTTCTATTGCCATTAGGTTTAATTTGACGCAAATCAAATTGAAGGAAATGTTTGCTATGGTTGAACTCAAGCGGTGATCACGATCACTCGACACTCTCATGTCGGGAGGTAATTTTTTATTTATTTTGAGAATAGCTAGGTTATTTATTTTTAGTGTCATACCACTTTGAATGTGATCAATTTTGTTTGAAATCTATAAAAGTTTACGGGTTTTAGAAACTTTTTCAATTAACTATTGATTTTGTCCTAAAGTTTTATTGTAACTTTTTGTTTTGCGTGGCTTTGAGTTGATGTTGAAAGAACCCCTATCACGAAAGGAATCTTCTTAGCTTTGTTTTCCCAAATTTTCCGTTACAAATTAGTTCTATTTTTGTGCTTCCATTTGTTTTATTGGGTTTAGACAATTGCTTACACGCTTCTATTTTCTCGCATTTACTTTATTGGGTTTGCAATTCTTATTTTCTCGCATACGCTTATACGCTTCCATTTTTCCTTTTCTTTTTGTCTGGTTTAGTGTCCTACGAATATGACTAATTCATTTTCTTTCCTGTCTTCAGGTTGATTTAGTCACACAAAGTTGTTGTTTTGACAGGCTGGACTGTAATTCTTTTTCATAACCAAGGAATCTTATATTGTTAATTTTTAGAGATGACTTTGTTGAAATTATTTGAAAAAAAGTAAGCCCATATTAATTTAAACTTATCTGCAATTCAACCAATACTTGAATGGGTTTAATCAATAGCTAGGTAAATTGTTATGTTGTTAAATTGTTGTTTTAAGGATGGACCATGACATGAATGGTTAATATTATGGTGTTAATTTGGGTATGATTATGAGATATATAATTTTTGTATACATGTCGAGATTTTTCTAGATTACTATTTGCAGAGGAAATTACGACGATTTTTTTAAAAAAGTAGTGAAGACTAGATTGATTTCAATTTCTTTAATTGAAGCAAATGAAAGAAAAATTATTTCAAAGTGACGATGTTTTTTTAGTTGAAAAGTGCCTTTAGGCATGGATTATTACTAGTATTTAAAATTTTATAAAATACTCTCATCTTTCCATTTGTCTTCTTTTCCCTCACCGGTACATATATTCCTTTCTTTTCCCAAGCCCTCTCTCTCTCTCTCTCTCTAAATATTGAATGTAACGGTGATAACATGTCACCATTGATGATATGGTATCATCAACCAATAATAAAATTTCAAATGAAAAAGGTGAATCCCACTTGAACTTACATGGCAAAAAAGTGAGAAGTTAATTACTTATATAGCAGGTTAGTTATTAATTTTTTTAGAGTTTACCTATTTATTTATTTTATTATTATTATCTGGTAATACCACATCACCTTGTCAACGTAATATCATCTTTGTAATGAATATTTTCTTTTCTCTCTCACGCACACAGCCTCTACAAACCCTCTTCCTTTCTCACCTAAACCCACCACACCACCTCAAGTCCCTGCCTCCCCAAGCCAGCCATCTCTCTCTCTCTCTCTCCCACAACCTCTACAAACCTTCTCTTCCTTCCCCACCAAAACCCATCACCTACAACACCCCCACCCCAGCCCACTTCTGCCGCACCTCCCCCATGCCAGCCCACCCCCTGCAACACTCCCTTCTTCACCGAAACCAATCCAGACCAAAGAAATCTATACCCCTCAAAAAAATATGTACCTAACCCAAATCAAATAACCAACCTATTTGTTCTACCCAAAATTACAATTTACTCAACCCACATTACTGTCGCAGAGTTGAACGAGAGAGAGAGAGAGAGAGAGAAATGGTATCAATCAACCTAGATTTAAATCTTTTTTATCACACTTTCACTCAATTTTATTCAATAATTATCTATTACTAATACACATAGAACCCATCATTTACTAGTAGATCTCTCACCCATATACAATGAATGATTTACTATTGTATAGAATTGAGAGAAAGTATAATAGAAAATATCACCTTCAATATCATAGTAAAAAATAATACAATCTATGATTTAACATGAAATAGGATACATATAACAAATCTCAACTAATTGGTACAAGCAGGACTAAGTATCGCAACTAGTGAATCTGACAACATGTATGTAGCCCATGTTAAGATGATCCTGAACAACGGGAACCATAGGCACTCGACCATAACCTTCAAGCATGCAAATACTAGCTTACAAACGAGTAGACATTAATTTAGATGTTGTTTCACAAGGATAAAATGCCAAAACCCATCTCATTTTTCTCTACACAATCTGCCACGATGGAGAAGCATTAGTCCTACCAGAACAAATGAAGGGAAAATAAACCCAACCATTTTGAATCCCACGAATATAGAGCGAATCAAATATCAGCTGCCAATTCTGCGTACCCTCTCTCTCTCTGAAGCGCCAATTATAGAACTGAAACATCCCCTTCTCAATCTTGTAAAATAACTATTTTACGAACGATTACAGACTTATGTTTGTGTGTGAGATAGAAAGATAAGCAAATTGACCATCCAGCCACGATCTGCGATAATATTTGTGGAAGACATGGTGCAAGCCCGATACAAAATGCAGGACTGGATATCATAAAAATGTACATCAGTCCAAATCAAGAAACTCCATCCTCTTCCTCATTGTACCTTTAAGATCTGTAGCCTCCCTTTCTGCTTTTTGTGCCTGTTGAAAATGTATTAGCATGCAGCTGTTACACGGGAAGTAGAAGACAAGACAAAATCTAAGGGGAACAAAATAAATAACAAGAAAAATTGGTTAAAAATTAAACTTGAAATTGATGCTTTGATTTTCCTTTTTAAACAGCATTCACTCGAAATCATATCTGCCATTCTTTATTCATTCATGGGGGGGGGGGGGGGGGGGACATCAACTTCCATCCTGCCATTAAGAAACCAACCGATTTAAGCTTAAACCACTTCCAGGAAATCCCAAGCAGAAAACTGTGCTGAAGCTGCTTGGCTTTAGATCCTGGGATTTTCATTACGCTCACTAAAGCAAGATTTATGGCATAGTGTTTATTCAAAGTTCGCTGCAAATCTTGATCATCTGACCAAATCCTATAAAGACTTTTTAAAAAGGGCAGTCTCTGATCCAATCTTATAGCATTGTTGTCATGCAAAGGATACTGCAAATCATTTTATGATAGCTGAAATTTGTTGATGGGCTCACAAATTCAAGAAAAAAAATGTCGGACTAAATTTCAATTAGAAACATTCATTTCTACATTACATCATGATAGTTAATTGGAAAACTAAATAAGGGAAAGTGTAAACATCGTTGGTTAAGCAGCATCAAAATCATCAAATTGTCAGTAATTTGTTCGCTGGGGTAAATGCTTTTGATGGTTTCATATGAATGAGCTCATTCTTTCAGACCGTCAGTGAAAAAGAACTTGATACTTTTGGCCAAGGGGAAATGAGCCAAGAGCTATATTTTTAGTTTGTAAAAGTCGTTTAACAATCATAATCACCACTTAGGAAGTATTGAAGGACCTAGGCTTCTCATAATAGTAACTGGAATAGTATTCATGCAAGCATCTAAAAGACTTAAAGTTTGGAGTAGGACTTTTCCCTTCACCAGACTGGATGACCCAAAATTCTGAAAACCTGGACAAGTTACTAAATAATCCAATAGCCATCAAACTGCGGACCTGCTAAATTTTTTGTAGCTCATCATGATTGTTTCCCTCAGCAGTGCAGCATTATGCATGCATAAGCACAGGAAAACTACACTTTGATGACAAACTTGAATTTCATGAACAACTAGTTCTAACCTTGATTTGTTCTCTCTCACACACACACACGATTAACCTTACACCAAAGTGTATGGTTTCCCACATCACCATGTGTTGATCCTAAAGAGACTATGAATTGATATACATAACAACTATTGCTGGTAGTGACAGTTATAAAAGGGAATCATCAAAACAATAGGAGTAAGGCCAGCAGTAAGTGAAAGTCCAGGGCAAAGTATCAACGTTTTTTTTTTCCTAATGAGCAAACTATCATGGAACAGTATCCTCTCCACTAATATATCCATTGATGAATCACAGCAAAATTACCCTTTTTATCTCTGCGGCTGAAACACGAGTCATATGTTGTGGAAGTTCCTCCTTCTCCAAGTCCTAACAATCAAAAGTAAATTTAAGAAAAAAACAAGAAATCAGGGTGTCAACATAAATTACCGAGACCAAGCAAACAAAGCATCATACCAGCTCACCAATTAAGACAACGTTCTCCCCACGGATTACATAGAGGCCTAACGGGAGGTCACAATAAAGGTCACCAACTATAACTCGCTCACATGCACCTTCAAGAACAGCATTGGCTGCACATAAGATATCAAAGTATTGTTTGTTAGCCAAGCACTGAATATTCTAGCATTCAATTCTTTGAGAGAGAAAATAGATACCAAATTGATCAAAAGACCGAAGTATCCCCAACAGCTTTCGACCATCCCGCAGCAGTACAAGAAGTTTCTCTGTGGTAAACAAAAGCTAGAATTAGAAAAACAAGGCACAAAAAACAAAGAGCTGGAAAGGTTCAAAACAGTAGCACCTTCCCAAGTTGAAGCCTATCTACTTTAACATATGGTATTCGCCCATTTATAGGAGCTTCTACTGAAGCATACTCTCTTTGCTCTCTCTCTTATGTAATTCGTACCTCTAGTTAATACAAAGCACCTGTTTAACTTCCTCTGAAGTATACGAGAGGTAAAGATAGACCAAAAAATTAACTTTGAATAAGATAGTTAAAAGGATAATGATAGTTTTCGATTTAACTGAAAACATGATTTCTGACAGAGCACAATGGAGAAATAGGCCCCCACCCCAACACACTGGGACAAGATTTTAATAAGTTGGGTTGAGCTAAGTTGAGAGTGCATGATCTCCTACTCTTTGAGCTATTTGGTTTATCTAAGCAATGATAAAAACTTCCTACACTCAGGAAAAAACAGAGAAAACATACTCAGTGCAACAGCATCAGGCTTCAAACTAGTCAAAGCATTGCAGTGATTCATAATGTGGTTCCCTTAACGTCCAAATGCAACACAAAGTTGCACTGGTATTAAGGAGAACATTATTCTGGCTTCATGTTAGAGTCACATAAGTTGAAGCCAATCATGCAACCCATAGAATGTGAAGCCATATATGTTGAGGATGATCCTAGATCTCAAGGATATTAGTATCATTTTATAATTATGGCTATAGATGAATCCAATTTTTTTTTATCCACAATCATTACACATCAACATATTAGAAAAGGAGAATAAACTATATTCTAGACCCTGCCAAAAATGTCACTTCGATTCCTTTTCTCAATTTGTGTTCTCATAACATATTGTCTATGTTGACTTTGTGGCCTTTCTGGCACAAAGCCTTTAAATGTGGCCAGAACATTCAATGCCCTTCTGGCAAGGAAATCAAGACACAAGCTGGCTATATGTGGGCTACTCAAGAAAAATTTGGCATAGGCATGGATGCACAGATTTGATCAGATTTGTAAAGATTTGACTCTTTGTTTGTTTTCTCTCTGCAGTTCACTATAAAAGAAGGCCATTAAGGGTCTCAAGCATCTGAAAACTGAAAGCTCAAACAAAGTTGTGAGTTCTCCTGAGTGATATCAAGTATCAATTTGAGTGTTCTCAAATTTGTGAGTGATACCAGGGAGATATCAGAGTGATCCTATTTTGTTGGAGTGAGTACTTGTGAGGTTTGGAACAATTGTTTTTGTACTCTTTGTTTACTCCAAATAGTGAAAACATCCGATCGTTGTTGTCGTGGATGTAAGCAATTGTTGAACCATGTAAATTACTTTATCTTGTATGATTGTTCTTTTTTTTTTTCCACTTAAGTGTGTCAATATCGATCCAAATTCGTTTCTTGGGGTAATTTTTTAATAAATTGGTATTTGAGTCAATACCAATTCTAGTTACTATTTACATACGAGTATTGTTCACATGGTACTATATATACGGGGTTTTGTTCATACAATACTATTCATTAGTACGGTATACAATTACTATTCATCAATACTATTTACTAGTATTATTCATAGGTACTATTTATATAGTACTATTCAAGGAATAATAATTGTCTGCACCAGTGTTTTTTGGACCTTACCAGATCAAGTTTTAAAGTCATGCCAACAAAACTTCCAAAGTTCTCGAATTCTAAGTTCGAGTTGGAGAAATTTGATGGAAAGAACAATTTTGGGATTTGGCAAGTCCAAGTCAAAGATACCCTAATCCAATAGGGACTACACATGGCATTGGAAGGTAAACCTAAAGATGTGGACGACAACAATATGCGTTTAGATCATATGAGTGAGAGAGAATTGGAAGTATTAAGTAAACGAGACATGCTTGGTGACGTCAAGACAACCGAGTTGAATTTATGTGAACATTGTGTTTTTGGCAAACAGTGCAAGGTGAAATTTAGCACAGCTATCCGGCGCATTAAAGACACCTTTGACTTCATCCATTTGGTTGTTTGGGGTCCCTCAAAGATAGTCTCAAAAAGAATATCCAAATATTTTGTTACCTTTATTGACGACTTCTCTCGCAAAATATGGATATACTTTCTGAAGACTAAGGATGAACTAAAGTCTTTGAAACATTCAAGAAGTGGAAAACTATGGTCAAGAAGCAAACTAGCAGGAAAATCAAGGCCATGTTTGGTTTAGTTTTTGAAAACTGTTTTTTGTTCTCAATATTTCGAAAATACCTAAAACCTGTTTGTTTAGCATTTTTATTCTCTAAATTTTATAAAAAAATGAGATTTGAGTCAAAGAAATAGAAAATAAGTGTAACTTGTTTTCGGAGTTTTCTTTGAAAATTTTAAAAACAAGAAAAATAATTTTGAATGTTCAGATATGGGTATATATATATATATATATACATATATATTTATATATATATACGTATATATATATATATATATTATGAAATTGTCAATAGAAAAATAACTTTTTTATATTTTTTTATTAATGTTTGAATTACTGTTCAAATATATATTTTGACTGTCCAAACAGGTTTTACTATTTTCTATATTGTAAAATTATTTTTGAAATCATCTGATCAAGTAAGTTTTTTATCTTAACAAATATCAAAACCACTTTCTTAAAACTCTTCTCAAAAACTGTTTTCGGATACTATTTTTTAAAACGCAAACCAAACAGACCCCAAGTGGCTGAGAACCAACAATGGTGGTGAGTACACGTACCAACCATTCTTGAAGTTCTATAAAGATAAAGGTATTGCAAGGCATTTCTATGTCAAGGGAACACTACAACAAAATAGAGTCGCAAAGAGAATGAACTTGACTCTATTAGAGAAAACAAGGTGTATGTTATCCAATGCTGGATTGGATAGAGAATTCTGGATTGAGGCTGTTAACACGGCGTGTTTTCTCATCAATCGATCACCGTCAACAGTTATAGAGTGTAAAAACTCCTCATGAAATATGATCAGGCGAGCCAACTGATTATAGTTCCTTTAGAGTCTTTGGGTGTCCAGCTTATTTTCATGTCAAAGAAAATAAGATTGACCCCAGAGCTAAGAAAGGAGTCTTTCTCGGATATGCAACTGGAGTGACGGACTACAAATTATGGTGCTCTAAATTGTATAAGTTTGTGATCAGTAGGGATGTGACCTTTGATGAGTTTGCTATGCTAACTTCTATCAAGCAGAAGGATATTCAGATAGAGGAGAAAAATGGTGATCTTGTGGAGGTGGTGTAGAGCTTAGTACTCCAGAAGATATTGTTCCAGACAAAGGGATCACAACAACAATCTTTAGCAACTAGGAAGACCAAAAGGACAGTCAAAGCACCAATACATTATCGTTTCAAAGATATGCTATCTCATGCACTTACCATGGTGGGTGATGAACCATCAACATTTCAGGAGACAATATATGACAATAACTGTAAAAGAATGGAAAACCGCCATGAATGAGGAGATGAATTTTCTTCACAAAAATCATACTTTAGAGCTCGTCAAATTGCCAAAGCAAAAGCGAGCGATTGGCTTCTCCAGGGACAAATAGCCTCAGATATAAAACACGATTGGTAGCTAAGGGCTACGCGCAAAAGGAAGGGGTGAATTACAATTAGGTACTTTCACTAGTGGTGAAGCATACTTCAATCCGTGTGTTATTGGCCATCGTAACTCAATTTGATCTTGAGCTAGAGCAATTGGATGTCAAGACTGCATTTCTCCATGGGGATTTGGAGGAGGATGTCAGCCTGAAGGTTTCAAGGTTGCCAGTAAAGAATCTCATGTGTGCAACCTGAGTAAGTCATTGTATGGACTGAAGCAATTGCCAAGATAGTGGTACAAAAGGTTTGACACGTTCATGTTGAAATAAAACTACACCAAAAGTGAGTATGACCATTGTATGTACTTTAAAAAGCTACCAGATGATTCTTTTGTCTATTTACTTTTATAAGTTGATGACATGCTCATTGCTGCTAAGAGCATGATGGAAATCAACAAGTTAAAGTCTCAACTTAGTAAAGAGTTTAAGATGAAAGACCTGGGTGCAGTTAAGAAAGTTCTTGGCATAGAAATTTTGAGAGACAGGAAGAAGGGTAGATTGTGTTTGTCACAGTGGAAGTACTAGAAGAAGGTACTTTCTCAATTTGGTATGGAGAACTCAAAGCCTGTGAGTACTCCTTTAGCTGCCCACTTCAGACTGTCAGCAACTATGTCTCCAAGTAGCAGAGAGGAGCATGAGTATATGTCTCATGTTCCATATGCGAGTGCAGTTGGAAACTTGATGTATTTTATAGTATGCACTCGTCCAGACATTTCACAAGCAGTCAATATTGTAGGCAAGTATATATAAAATCCTGGTAAGGAACATTGGTAGGCTGTAAAATGGTTACTACGGTATCTTCGTGGTACTCTGAATGTAGAATTGGTGTATTAGTGAGACAGTTGTTCAGAGTCTCATCTCAGTGGTTATGTGGATTCCAATTATGCTGGTGACCTAGACAAGCAAAGGTCTACAATAGGCTATGTTTTCACAACAACCCAAGGTCTAGTCAGTCGGAGGTCTATGTTACAACCAACAGTTACTCTGTCAACGGCTGAGGCAGAGTACATAGCAGTGACTAAGGCTATCAAGGAAGCTTTATGGCTTCGAGGTTTGATTGGTGATTTGGGTATATCACAAAAGTATGTGAGCCTCTTTTGTTATAGTCAGAACGCCATTCATTTGGCGAAACACCAAGTTCATCATGTAAGGACCAAACATATTGATGTTCAATTTCACTTTGTTCGTGGGGTTATCGACGATGGTGAGATTTCTTTACAAAAAGTTAGCACCAGAGATAATCTAGCTGATATGTTGACCAAGATGGTTCCAACAATTAAGTTCCAGTATTGCTTGGACTTGATCAACATCCAACAAGTTTGAGCGCCTTGCTAGGCGAATCAAGTACAACAATCAAAAAGGGATTTCAAGATGGCTTGAATGGTTTCTGTCCAAGGTGAAGAATTCTGGCCTTTCTAGCACAAAGCCTTTAAATGTGGCCACAACATTCAACGCCCTTTTGGCAAGGAAGTCAAGACACAAGTTGGCTATATGTGAGCTACGCAAGGAAAATTTTCCTTGCGCAAGCGTGGATGCGCAGTTCATGCACAGGTTTGCATAAATCTGATTTTTTGTCTGTTTTCTCTCCGCGGTTCACTATAAAAGGAAAAGGCCAGTAAGGGTTTCAAGCATCTAAAAACTGAGAGCTCAAACATAGTTGTGAGTTCTCCTGAGTGATATCAGGTATCAATTTAAGCGTTCTAAGATCTGTAAATGATACCAGCGAGATGTCAAAGTGATCCTATTTTGTTGGAGTGAGTACTTGTGAGGCTTAGAACAATTGTTCTTGTATTCTTTGTTTACTCCAAATAGTGAAAACATCCACTCGTTGTTCTCGCGAACATAGGCAATTGCTGAACCACATAAATTGTTTTGTCTTGTGTGATTGTTCTTTTATTTTCCACTTAAGTGTGAGTGTCAAT